TCACTCCCCAAAGCCTGACATCCTCCTCCCTCAAGTGTACCAGAGCCACACAAATCCCTGCACATTGAGTCGTTAGCCTGATGTCCACATTTCTTTGTTTAAGAGGTATAAGGTCAGCACGATGGTTCCCCCAGTGCCCGCCAGTCCCTCCATACCTCCCAATACCCCTCACTGGGGCCTCTTGCTTCCCCTCATTCCCCTTCCCTGGGTCCCATCACTGCTCAGTCCCCTCATCTGGTCTGGCTCCTCACTCTCTCCCTCTCTTTAGCTTTTGCACCTCCCTAGGTGGGTGCTAGGAGCCTTAGTGACGCAATAGTTAAGAGCTCGGCTGCTAATCAAAAGGCGGCAATTCAAACCCATCAGTGGCCCCATGGGAAAAAGATGTGGCAGTCTGCTCCTGTAAAGATTACAGCCTTGGAAACCCTATGGGGCAGTTCTACCCTGTCCTATAAGGTCGCTATGAGTCGTAATGGACTCCCTGGCACAACAACAGGCAGGGGCTGGTTTTACTCAGTGTGCACAGGATCTGTGTGTGCTCCTGACCACACAGAGGTATGTCTTCAAGCCTGTGCTCCTATCCGGAGCACGGCAGTGTGTATCTGCACTGTGAGGTGTGTGTGTGGTGGAGGGGAAGGATGGGGAGGAGGGGCAGTGGAGGGGGCAGCGGGTCTGTTCTATTTTTACTGGCCAGTTGCTGTTGGCCATAGTTTTCATAGCCTCCCCTGAGCTCTGCCCCTCACAGTCTGCAGTCGACTGCGAGACACAGGCCAGCTCAGCTCCACCAGGACTGTGCAAGGTGAGTGTCTGTAGCCCAGGCCTGCAGACCCAGGCCAATCCCAGGCAGAGGATGGGGTGTGGGCTTGGAGTTTAAGGAGAGAGTGAGATCTGGGAGATGGAAAAAGACATTGCTTGCTGGTACTATTGGGTTTGTTGTTGGAACATTCCTAAAATTCTCCCAAAGCATTTGTTCCCATACAATGACATCTCTCCTGCAAAACTGTCGTGGTGAAACCTCCCCCCAACCCAGATGGATGGAGACTCTGGGGCTGATGGCAAACACAGGCAACAGAAATCCAGGCTGTCTCCCATTTTAAAGACTGGGGAGCCAGGAGCAGAGTTTTCCACAAAGTTCCACAAGGTGCCCCAAGGCACAGCCTAGCGGATTATGTTTTCACACCAGGCTGCCCATCAGGTCCCAGGAGGGAGAGTGTCCCTAGGGGGAGGGGCGGCATTGGGGAACAGGGCCAGAGGGCTGCACTGGGAAGTTTAGGAAGAGCCTGGTGAGCAGGGAAAGGGAGCGATGATGCAGCAGAAGGAAGGGACATGCTCCAGTGTGCAGGGCTCTGGGGATGTTTAGGAGGTAGGTCCAGACACCCTGCTGATGGTGGAGACCATCTTGCTTCTTTGTTCTTTGTGTTTGAGGGAAGCTCTTAGCTCCCTTGATCACCCTTCTGTACAGTAGGAAAAGAGTGGAGGAGGGTAGGCTGCCAGCTCCACTTGGCAAATGGCCAACGCTTCCCCACCACCCCTGGCTCTGAGAGGTGGGCAGTTGTTGCAGGGGGGGCTCTTGGGGAAGGCAGATGGGGGCCAGCACTTGGAGTTGAGGCTGAGAGTCTGCGAACATCTAAGTTAGAGCAGCATCTGCAGTGCGATGCATGTTGGGGGCAGGGGTGAGGCTAGTGGTCTCCGTCAGGGTTGGGGGCTAAAGGGAGCACCTGCCACCAGGTTCGGGAGTCACAGCTGCAGGGCAGTTCTGAGATTAGGCTTTCCTGTTCAGAATTCCACATGAGGGTGTGGTTGTGGCAGCCTGCTACAGGAGTCCAGTTAAAAAAAAACCAAACCCACTGCCAGAATGGAGAAGAACTTCCTCATAGGGTTTCCCAGGCTGTAAGTCTCTACAGAAGCAGACTGCCTCATCTGTCTCCACCAGCAGGGTGGCTGGTGGGTTTGAACTTTTCTGTTAGCAGCTGAGTGCTTTAACTACCGCGCCACCAGGGCTCCTCACAGGAGTCCAGCCCTTGTTAACAGTCAGTCAAGGAGGACAGGGATGCCCTTGACTGGGGTTCAAGGTCAGGGAGGAGCAGGGGGAAGAGTGCGAGCCTAACTAGAAATTTGTGTTCCTGATTATTAGGTTTGCAAAGAGATCTGTTCCTTTCCCTACACACACACACACACACACACACACACACACACACACACACTCACACACACTATTCCCTCTTTCTCACACACACTGTCTCACACACACACTCACACACACACACTCACACACACTCTTCCCTCTTTCTCACACACACTCTTGCCTCTTTCTCACACACACCCTCTCACACACATACACACACTCACACACATGCACACAACCTCAATCTCATAGTCTTGTTTGTATTCCTGTTCCACCCCACAGAGCCTCACAGATCAGAGAGCCTAGCTCTGAGTCACTCACAGGAGATTCTTTGCTCTGTCTCCTCAGTTGCGGATTTTCTAATTATCTCCTTACTTGCTGCTTCAGGGGGAGATGGAATCCTGGCTCTCCAAGCCCCGATTTGCTGCTATCTGCATCCTGACTTCTTATCAGGCCCCTGCTTGTCTTCCACAGACCTGTCAAGGGGACCTGTCTGGGGGGCGTCAGGGCACGGGCTGGGGCCTCTAGCCTGATGTGGGACCCCTTGGCCTGGCATTTGTCAGTGGGGCTGACGAGGGAGCAGGCTCAGAGCTTGGCAAGGGGCCTGGACTGGCCTCACAGGCAGGGCCCCACACTGGTGACAGTGGCTTTCTGAGGGGGCATAAGCGTGGCCATTGCCCATTAAGAGTGGGACACGTTCCAGGGAAACAGACTGAAGACCTACTGGGCTGAGACCAGGTGCCCTCTGGAGACAGGGATTATGGGAGGAAGAGGAGGAGGGCCAGCTGGACGTGGGGGTGGTTCTTCATCAGGTGCTATTTCCTTTTAGATTTCTTCAGTGTCTTCAGAGGCGCAGAGCCCTCAGAGTAAGCAGCTGGCTATAAAATCTAATTTCAGCCAAGCATCTCGGGAATTTATGAGTTGTCTCCATACCTCTCCCTCTGTGCCCCAGGGTGACAGCTGAGGCTCTGGGGTCATATCCCCCCTCTGCCTCCCCACCCCAGGCCTCACTCTCCCCTGGGAGCAGAGGCAAAATGAAGGCCCAGAAGCCTTTCTGACAGGGTAGGAGATTCCAGAGAGGTGGCCAGAGCCCCACTTACTCATTGGGGTGGGGGAGGATGCCTCATGGGCACAAAAGGTCAGGAGAGAATTAAAGCAGAGGAAGGAGGTGGCTCTGGGATAAAATTATTGGTAGGCAGTTTGCAAGTGTCCTTTATATTCTGTGCTAAACCAGGTTCTTGGACCAAGACCCAACTCCTGACCCTGAGCTCCGTACTCCCCCCACCACATACACTGATGTCCTCCACCCCTCAATTCATAAGCTAGCTCAGGATTCCTGTCCTACCCTGGACACCTGCTCCCTACTCTAGATGTCCCCCTCCCTTCCCCGGGCTTTTGTACAATCCCTTCCCCCACTGGAATGTCCTTTGTCCAGGCCCAGGCAAGATGGCGAGTCAGGTCTGGCTTTGGAGCATGTCTGTTGTACAGCTTTAGGACCACCTCCTTGTCCTGGGCCCCTCACTGTCAGAGGTAGAAGGGACCCCAGGGATCAGCTGGTCAGAGGGCTTCAAACATGCTCCAAAACCTCCATGGCCAGGGGTCCGCGCAGCGGACCACAGAGCTCTGATGGCGACCCCCTTCCACCAGTGCCGTCTGCTCGTATTGATTGCATTTATTTTGCTTCCAAGTAGAATTTGGCTTGAACAAAGGGTTCAAGAGCTAAATATTAAGTGGAAAACCACTCATCTAGCCCCCCATTTTGCAGAGGAGACAACTGGCCCAGAGAAGGTAAAGACTAGAGTTGAACACAGATTTGCCCTGCCTCCTTGCTTATTAGTCTTCTCTGTCCAGAGCCTCCCCCTTGCCTTACCCCAGGGGGTGCCAGCCACATTGTCCTCTATGTGAATAGCACCCCCTGGGCACAACTGCAGTGCATGAAATGTGAACAGTGCCCCCTGGAGTTGTGCCATATGGCGGCCACCTCCATTCCACCTTCTACTCTGCTCCATTTATCTTCCAGGTCCTTCTCCTCCCTGAGACCTACAATGACCACTCATTAGCCACAGAACAAAGTCGAAACTCAGCCTATCATTCAACGCCCTCGTGAGTGGGCTCTACCCTCACTTTCCAATCTTATTTTCTAGGGACTCCATCTTGTTCCCCACAGGGATCTGCAAACTTTTTCTGGAAAGGGCCAGATAATAAATACTTTAGGCTTTGCAGGTCACATAAGTTTTCTGTTGCATATTCTCTCTCTCCCTCTCTTTTTAATAATCCTTTAAGCAAAAACATGACAACCCCATGTGTTACAGAGTAGACTGCTCCATAAGGTTTTCTTGGCAGTATTCTTTACAGAAACAGATCTCCAGGCCTTTCTTTTGCAGTGCCACTGGGTAGATCCGAACCACCAACCTTTAGGTTAGTAGTCGAGCGCAAACTGATTGCACCACCCAGGGAGCACACCAGGCAAACAGGGTTACATGAGTAGGAATTGACATGACAGCAATAGGTTTTTTATTTTTATTTTTGGAAGCAAAGACAGGCCGTGGGCCAATTTAGAGCAGTTGGCTGTAGGTGGGTGACTCCTGCTTCCCACACCTGCTCAGCAGAACCATTACAGCTCTTATATTACTTCTTTGCCTTTATAGGATTTCTCTCTGCCATGAGTGAATGAGTGAATGAATAAATGGAAGAATAAATGGACAAATATACATCCCATCCTGACGCGCTGGAATCCGTTCTATCTGGTTTCTTCTTCTCTGCTGTCTGACTCTCTCTCCCAGGCTGGCCTGCCGACACAGCCCACAGGCCCAGCTGGTTGGGGTTAGGGGGCAGAGTTATCACTTTCCCACCTTAACACTCCCTCTGTGCCCTGTAGGTGCTGCTCCACCGCCACCATGCCGGAAGTGTAAGTAGCCCTACCCCCCATCTAGGCCTCGCAGAAAGCAAGTTTCTTTGCCGGGAACGTCAGCCCCATAGTTGAGGCACCATTCTGTTCAACCCTGAAGCTGTTCCCCAGTAGACAAGTTCCTGAAACAGGGACAGTCCCGTGTGCTTGAGTCTGCGCTCCAGGGTTTCTCCAGTGTTGCCACACCCCCTTCCAGCCTTCGAGCAGAACTCACACTTCCAGGTTACCTGGGAAGAACTTCTTGGCTGTGTTTTGGAGTTTTGTCTGTCTGCACTGATCCAGTGAATTGCATGCTGCCAGGCTGTGATTTAACACTGACCCAGTAGATGAACGAGACTTTGGGAATTTATCCACAAACCCGGGATGGAACCTTTCAAATTTTTTGAAACTTACATTGAGCTGACAAAACCCTGACTTCCCTGACCTTCTGCCACCCCACCCTAAACATACAGTGACCAGTATATCTCAACTTCCAGAAGTCTAAAGGGCCGTTGAGTTTTTATTCTATTCTGTTGCAACCTGCAAACTGGCCCCCTGTCCCCTGCCCCCATTATACTGCCTGATTTCTTTCTGGTGCACTTTCATCACCCCCGCCCCCGGAAGTTGGTCCACATGGCTCCCCCACTTATACTCACTCTGTGTTCTGCTCTTTCCTCCTGTGCTTCCTGTGATGGCCATCTGAAGTGAGGTAAGTGACATTTGGAGTGCCCTGGGTATGTCTTCAGACTGGTGGAGGTGGGATGGGCATCTGAGGAGAGGAGAGCACTTGGGTCGGGACCAGGGAGATGCCCAGTGACTGAGCAAATTCCCAGGAGAGTAAAAACTTCCCATGAAGATTCCCATGAAGTGGGGCTTCCCAAGATCCAGGTAGTTGATGCCCAGTGAACAACATCACTGAGAAGGTGGCCCTGGGGCTGGAACCACAGTGGAGTGGAGCGTGGCTCTGCACCCATCTCCTCACTCTGCACCCTTGCTGAGCACTGAGCCAGTTCACCCTCACCCACTCTGGGAGCTCTTCAGATCTGAGGGGACCATTTTAGACCTAGTCTTGTGCAAAGCCATACTTGAACAGTGGGAAGGGATGGCCATTCCACCCAATGAGTCATTCTGCTCAATGGCTGAACATTGAGGGAGGAGCAAAGACTCCCTTAGACTCCACTCAGGTCTTAGATGACCCTGATCCTGGCCATCCGACACACTCCAGATTTATTTGGGCTGCGAGAACACAGCCTGCACACCCAAGGCTGGGGACTGCAAGGATAACAGGGCGGGGAGAATTAGCAGCACTGGCGAAGGGGACATCTGGCACGGAGATTCTCAGTGAGACTCGATTACACTATTTTTCTATAACCAGTGGATTTCTAACTCCGTTGTGCTGAGACTCATATTAAAGTGAGTTCCCATTGATTGATGGTCCAGTGAGGTGGCCCATGAGCTCACCAAGTTGTGGGGAAAACAAGACTTCAATGAAACATTTGCATCACAGTGTGTAAACCATGCCTCTCCCTTCTCACCCTCAGAGAAAACCCAAGATCACCGCCTCCCGCAAGCTCTTGCTGAAGGTGAGGCACGGGGGATGCAGAGAAGTCTCTGAGGGGCTGAAGGGGTGGGGAGCATTGGAGGGTGGAGAGGAAGGAGACCAGAGCAAGGATGCCAGTTCGGGGCTGGAGCCAGCAGAGGGATCCTGGCTGTTGCTCAGAGACAGTGCTCAGGCACAGGTGGCCAGTGGGTGAGAACCTCAAACTGTGGGCTCCTGGTGCCCGCCTGGGGTCCTCAGAGGAATGGACTAAGTTGCAGGGTGGGAATCCACTGGTGGTGGCGGAGGGATTTGCTCTATTTGGGTAAGAGTTTCCGCTTTGGATCTCTGTGGGGTCAACACAGACAAAAAGTGAGCAAGAGGAGGATCAGGAGATTAAAAAAAGCTTCAGGGTCTGAGAAACGCCATGTGTGACCACTCAGTGTCTGTTCACACACAGCCACCGGACGCACTTCCACGCTTAGCAAATGGCTCACTCACACGCTTCCCAGGGCGCATTGGTCTAGGCCCTGATGTGCATGAGAACATGGAGCTGGCATAGCCGGCTGAGGCCAGAGCCAGCCCAGCCTTGGTCCACCTTCCCCTCCTACCCTGGTGGGGGTGGGGCCCACGAGAGCCCTGGGCCCCTTCTCACAGGGCTCTGTCCTGCCCAGAGCTTGATGCTGGCCAAGGCCAAGGAGTGCTGGGAGCAGGAGAATGAAGATCGAGAGGCTGAAAAAGTGCGCTACCTGGCTGAGCGCATCCCGTCGCTGCAGACCCGCGGCCTGTCCCTCAGCGCCCTGCAGGTGAGCTGGCAGGCCAGGCTGGGGGTGGGGAGCTCTGTCTGGTGACCCCAGGGATTGGGTGGCAGGAGCCTGAACTCACATTGCTCAACTCTTTGTAATTTACAAGGCGCTTGTCTTAGTTATCTAGTGCTGCTATACAGAAACACCACAAGTGGGGAACTTTAACGAACAGAAATTTATTTTCTCACAGTTTAGGTGTCTAGAAGTCCAAGTTCAGGGTGCTGGCTGTAAGGGAAGGCTTTCTCTCTGCTGGCTCTTTTCAGCTTCTGTTCCTTGGCTCCTTGGTGATCTTCATGGGGCCTGGCATCTATCTTCCCCCATCTCTGCTTGCTTCTCTGGGCCTTATCTGCTCTTTTTATATCTCAAAGGTGATTGGTTTAAAACACATCCTACACTGATATGGCCTCATTAACATACCAGAGAAAACCCATTCCCAAATGGGATTAGAACCACAGGAATAGGGGTTAGGATTTACAACACATCGTTTGGGGGGACACAATTCAAACCTCTTCGCTCACACGATCTGATTTAATCCTCACAGCAGCCTGTGAGGTGGGTGATGATTGATCTCATCTTCCAGGTGTGAGAAGTGAGCTTCAGAGGGGTGAAGCGACTTGTCTGGGGTGGGGCAGAGCCAGGAGTCCGGCTTCATATCAGACCGGTGTGACGGCATGGAGCAGAGGGCACGCAGACTTGGGAAGCCCCATTTCTCCAAAACCTTGCCCCCTAGAGACAGGTCTTTAATGTTTTTTAAGACACTGGTATCTGTTTAAATGCCAGTGGCTACAGAGAAAAGAGACTGGAAGGAAATATACCCAAATGTCACCAATAGTTATCTCCAGGATGTGGCATTACTAGTGATTTTTATTTTATTATTTTTGTTTAATACATAATTCTCAAAATTTCTACATTTAACTTATATTACTTTCATCATAAAGAAACTTCTTTTTTTTAAAAGAAAATAAGTACATATAGAAAGGAAAACAAAAGGCTTACCCTTCGAGCTATCATCGGTTGCGAACCTCAGATTGAATGAGTTTGTCAGTTCCTTTCCAGAGCATGGGTCTTGCAAAGGGGCTGGGGGAGGGCCAAGGGCAGTGGGCTTGGAGGCAGCAACAGGAGGCTGGAGACTGAGTGTCTCCCTTCCCCTCTCCTCCCCTCCTGCCTGATCAATACCCGCAGGATCTGTGCCGGGAGCTGCACGCCAAGGTGGAGGTGGTGGATGAGGAAAGATATGACATCGAGGCCAAATGCCTCCACAACACCAGGGAGGTGAGCCTGAAGGCGGGGAAGGGATACCAGTAGGTGATGTCTGGGTGGGGTGGGGGTGGGCAGTGACATGTCAGCTGTGGGCCGGGTCCGCTCCTTCTGCTGGGTCTGGGAAGTAGCCAATTATCAGAGAGTTTGGTCCCCCCGTAGGTTTGGAGATGGGCAGAGAGCGCATAATCACACAGATGAAAAGCACAGACTTCCTCCCTACCTGGCACGTGGGCTCTTCAGTCTAACAGAAGCCACCTTCTTTATTCACCCACACAAATAATCATGTGCCAGTTAATAACACCTTACCTTGGCAAAGTGCTTCCATGTGTGTTATACCCTTTGATCTTCCCTACACACTTATGTGTACTTTACCTGCTATATTATCTGCACTTTATGCATGAGGACACTGAGGTTCAGAGAGGCTAAGAAACTTGGCCTGGGTCACACAGTGGTGATCCTGGGACTGAACTGGTCTTCTGACTCCTACTCTGGTGGTGGGGAGCTGCATCCAGACTCCTGTGCCAGTGGGGTGGGGCAGGGCAGGGCTCCTGCTGCCTAGTAGGCTGCTTCTGGGCATTTGTTCAGGCAGTGAGGAGGGGCTAGGGAGGGTCCAGAGCCACGTCCCACCTTCCCACTTCTTCCCATTAGGGATGATGATCTCTAGGATCATGAATCTCCCCAGAATTCCCTCCAAAGCTCACACCCTGGAAATTCACCCACAAGTCTGAGGCCTGGAGATTTATCCACTGGCTAGACCAAGACTGTGCCTGCAATGAGCTGCTCTGAAGGCAGACTGAGGGGACACTGACAGAAACAGGAATGCGGCTGCAGGAATAGGAGGAGGAGCCCCATGCTCCAAACGGCTTCTAAACCACAAATGCACTGAACATGTTGAGGCTGCCTCTGTGATTCCTGGCTACAGAGATAGGGATGACTACTGGGCTCTGTCCATTTACTTAGTCTTCATTTATCAACAAATGTGTGGCTGTGTGTAAGCGATGGGTGGATCTGGGTGTCCTAGAGGGTCTGCCCTAGAGCCTGCAGGATTTAGGGTACAGCTCTTCGGGGCTGGCTGGCTAGAACCCCAGAAGTCTGAGATCCCCAGGAAGGGTGCTCCCTGGCTGGCCTCTCCTCCAGTGAGCCCTTGTCCCTTTCCACCTGCAGATTAAGGACCTGAAGCTGAAGGTGCTGGACCTCCGAGGGAAGTTCAAGCGCCCGCCCCTGCGTCGGGTCCGTGTCTCAGCCGACGCCATGCTCCGGGCCCTGCTGGGCTCCAAGCACAAGGTGTCCATGGATCTGCGGGCTAACCTCAAGTCTGTGAAGAAGGAAGACACGGAGAAGGTGAGGGCCACTCTCCTCAGAGCCTCTCCCCCCAGTCCCACCAGCCTTCACCTGTCACCCCTCACACAGCCTCAGGCAGGCCGAGGAGCTCCTGTTGGAGGCCAGCTTGTCAGTCAGAACATTCTAGAACCCCTGAGAGACCAGAGATAAAGTCTTATCACTCTGTCCTGGGAGACAGAGACTCACTCTCTTCCCTAAGGAGCTCCCAGTCTGAGAGGGAGACTGGGACACAAAGAAATCCAGACCAGTGAATAAAGTGAAAACCCTGCACCCAGTGTGAAGAGGGTGGGAAATTTAGGGTGGCTGTGTAGACAACTGCCCTCTGCCACTACAGGGGAAAGAAGACAGCATGTCGTCATGGTTATAGGTACACTTGAGCCCAGAAATTAGAGAACTGAGTTCAATCACTCACTCAGTGACAAATCACTCAACATTGGCTGAGTGCATGGTGTTTGTGCCCGAAACCATCAGGCCCTGTAAAAAGTATGAATGAAGGATGTGGTTTCTGGCCCAAGAAGCTTCATGAAGAGAATACGTGGGCCAGGCAGTATGAAATGGAAAAGGAGTCTAATTAGAAGGGCGAAGGCTTCTTGGACAAGGTGGATTTCAGCTGCAAAGTGGCAGCCCAGGAAGACAGTGGGGGCATGGGGTCAAGGTTAGGGTGTGGTGCATAGGGTGGGAACTTGTCCTGGAACCCCACAACCATCACCCAGAGCTCCCAACACACACAGCGTCCTCCTTCCTGCTGAGCTTCACCTTGACCCATGTCTACCTCTCTGGCTGAGTCCTAGGACCTCACCACCTTGGCTGGGGGGTTGATATTTTCTATTTTTTAAAAAATAATTTATTTTTAATTAAATTAAATAAATTATTTTTATTGTGGTAAGTGTATATGTAGTATCTCTATCTCTGTCTGTATATAGTCCCTGGGTGGTACAAACGGTTTGCACTTGACTACTAACCAAAAGGTTGGTGGTTCAAACCCACCCAGCGTTGCCATGTAAGAAAAGTCCTTGCGATCTGCTTCCATGAAGATTATAGCCAAGAAAACTCTGTGGAGCACAGTTCTATTCTGTGACACATGGGGTTGCCATGAGCTGGAAATGACTCAGTGGCAAAAGACAACAGACAACAAGTGCATCTATAAAACAAAACATTTGCTATTTCAACATCTTACTTTTTTAAACATTTTATTGTGCTTTAGGTGAAAGTTTACAGCTCAACTTAATTTCTCATTCAAAAATTTATACACATATTGTTTTGTAGCATTGGTTGCAGTCCCCACAACGTGATGATACACTCCTCCTTTCTAACCCAGGTTCCCTGCATCCATTCGTCCCGTTTCTGTCCCTTCTTGCCTTCTTGTCTTGCTTTTGGGCAAGAGTTGCCCATTTGGTTTCATGTATTTGATTGAACTAAGAAGCACGTTCCTCACATTTGTTGTTTGTTTTATAAGCCTGTCTAACCTTTGTCTGAAAAGTGGGCTTCGGGAGTGGTTTCAGTTCTGAGTTAGCAGAATGTCTGGGGGCCATAATCTCAGGGGTTCCTCCAGTCTCTGTCAGACAGTCAACCTCTTACTTTTTAAAGAGGCTGATTTTTCTATCACCCACTTTCTGAGGGCTTGGTAAGTCTCTGACATGTGTGCTGCTTGCCCACAGGAGCGCCCTGTAGAGGTGGGTGACTGGCGGAAGAACGTTGAGGCCATGTCTGGAATGGAAGGCCGGAAGAAAATGTTTGACGCTGCCAAGTCTCCAACCTCACAGTAGAGGTACCTTTTCTCCGGGGTTAATCGGAGTCCCAAAGAACAATTAGGGACCCTAGGATAAGGGCGGGCAGGTTGTGCCCAGTGTGGTGCAGGGAAAAGAGCACTGGGTCAGAGTCAGTACTAGAAGGTTCAGTCCTGGCTCCGGCACTGTGAGACTTTGGACACTTCATTTCCAGTTTGGAGCCCTTTTTGTTGCCCTCAGAGTCCCTGGGCGGTACAAACAGTTAAGCGCTTGACTACTAACTGGAAGGCTGGCAGTTTGAATCCACCCAGAGGTGCCTCAGAAGAAAGGCTTCCAAAAGGTCACAGCCTTGAAAACCCTATGTAGCACAGTTCTACTCTGACACACACAGGGTCGCCATGAGTCGGAATCCACTTGACGGCAAGGGGCCTTTTCTTCCCACTATGGGTGTGCTGAGGGGATGTGGAGCAGAGCAGACAAGACTTTCTGGAGGGGATGAGCTCTCTGAGGAGGTGATAGGAAGTGAGGAAGTTAGTAGGGAAAGGGAAATGATGTGGCAGAAGGGCTGATGGTGCAAGGAAGGCACTGAGGTGGGAACTAACTGGCCATGGAGGAGGATGGCAAGACCAGGCAGTATGGAGAGTGGGTGAGCTGGGCTCAGAAAGGTGTGGGAGCTTGGGGCCCAGGGCACAGAAGCTGAGTCTGCCTAGGAGCCCCCGTGGACGACAGCCTGAGCCGAGGTGTGCTGGGTGTGGGCTTCCTGGGGCCGCAAGTACAGTGGATAAATCAGGATTCGTAAACTGCGAGCCGGTCTCTGGAACTGAGGCTTCCTCTTCTTTGTCCCTACAGGCTGGCTTGCTGTGCTGTGCTCCCTGCTCCTGCTTAATGCTCCTTCTTCCAGCCCCACCCACCCTTTCTGCCCCATTTCTGGAGCACCCTCCTGCACCCATCCTACCTCTCCCCTCCAGACTGCTATTCCCGCCTCTGGAACTGAGACTAACCAGACACACGAGAGAGAGGAGAAATGCAAGTGTCTGAAGACCTAACCTCAGCAGCTCCTCCGCTACCCATGAGGCACCGGGGGCCTTCCTGGACACCCTGTGGTACAGTCCTCAGAGGAGGAAGCTGAGCGAGCACCCTCCATTCAGCCCCTGCCACATTCCTTCTCTGCTGCTCTGTACAGCAGAGTGTCCACATCATCAGGCCTCTCCATTAAAATGCAGTTTCCTGGCGATCTCTTTAGCTCTGGCTGTGAGCACTTGGGAGAAAGGGAAGCGAGAGAATCTGTGAAGAGAGGGTTTGCTGGGCTCCAAGCACTCTGCCCACGGTCAGGAGCTCAGGGTCAGAATGGAGGGCTAAGGACTTGGCAGCTTCCTGCTAAGGTCCCCTGGAACCCCTTCTTCCCAGTCCCAGTGATGTCTCACAGCTCACCCTCACCATCCCAGGACACTCAGCCCACCGAAGCCCTGGCCCAAGGTGGCTGATCTGAGGACAGACCCAGGCCTGCCCGCCTCCTGCCATCCAGATGGGCCTCTCCATTCAGAGGCCCTCGCCCTGCTTGATTTCACACTCCCCTTCCTTCGCAAACCTGGATCAACTCTCCCTGGTACCCGCTGGATGTCCCTGACTGTTGTAGGCTGAGAGGTCAGGGCCGTTTCAACCCCTCAGCCCATCTGATGAGCACACACCTGAGGAGTGCAGTGTACTGGCTGGCCCAGCCTGGAGGGACACCCTGCAGTTCCAAGCCTGGCCACCAGGTGGTTCTTTCCCCCAGCTTCCTCCCTGGGCTTTTCCGATGCTCCCAGCCCCTGCTCTCTCCACCTTCATTCACTCGCCTCCCAATTCTTTTTCCTTCATACTCCTTGACTAGCCATAGTCCCAGGCCTGATTCTTCTCCCAAGCTGGGGCAGCCAAATGGTCTGCCCTCTGGGCCAGGTCTTTCTCCATTCCACTGACATCTGTGAGGGGCTCGAGCCTGCTGGGGTGGCATGGGGAGACAGGGGCGCACCTCCCCCAGCAACACACAAGAAGGAAGAGTAGCTCCTGTCGAGCAGAGATCAAGGTTCCAGCCCAGGGTGGATCGTGACGTTTCAGGGCAGTGTCATGGTGACTTCCTGAGCTAAGCCTGCAAGGGAAGTGGCTGGTCCCAGACCTGGGGCCTTGGCCTTTGGAACTCCTAGCACTGGCCCCAGAAGAGGCTGAGCTGTCTAAGCAGCCCCCTTCTACCTGCCCCTGCTGAATCCTTGTTCTGCCCTCTGCTCCCAGTACATTATCTGCAATAAATGCCAGAAACTGAGTGCAAAGTGCAGTGCCCGATACTCCTCGGGGCATGGCCTGGCACCCAGAGCCGCTCGGCCTGCCAGCTTCTTCCAAGGACCACGGCAATGGGGACCAGCAACCTGGGATGTGTCGGGGAGGCAGCATTCTGCCCGTGGTTCTCGCTATGAGCAGGTCAGTGGGCAGAGAGGCAGACGTGTGCAAAGACACAACTCCCACCGCGCACACAAATTCTTAGGCAC